GAATAAAGGTAGGGCCTTATCTATTGGGTCATTGGATACAATGAATTTTTGAGATGCCCAACCCAACCCCCCTCCAGCCTCATACAGTCCACCAATGAATAATTGTGTTGTGGCAGACAAATCCCGAGATATCCTTTGAACACTGACAAATCACGAGATTTAGCATGAAATGGGGGGTTGTATCCAACATGTAGTCTTCCATCGGGAATAAATTACTAGAGTAATGTTTTTGGTATACGAATCTGTCTCCTTCCTAGTTGGGCTGCGGTTACTGCCTCTTTCCCCCTCAAAATGAAACTCCTTTTTTTATTCTTTGGACCATTTCTCTTTCATACTTCCACACTATCAATTTCATTTTCATTTGGAGTTCGGACAAATAAAATAAAAAAATAATAGTTATTCATTTTATCTATTAAAAATTAAAAAATATTATTTTAATAAATATTTATTAAAATAATATATTTTTAAAACATAAATTAATGTATTTTTTTTATCTTTTTTTAATTTTTTAAGGTAAATAGATAAACACTAATCTTATAAAATAATATATAAAATAAAAATTTTTAAATAAAAATTTTTAATATTAAAAAATTTAATTTATATATAAAAATTTATGATTTATAATTTGATATAATTTAAATTGTAAAATTATTTTTTAATAATATATATATAAATCAATCACTTGGAAGATGCGTATGCAAGGAAGCTAAGGTCATTTCAAACCCTTTGCCTTATCAATGGAAGTCCCAGTTTCCCATTGTTAAGGAGTAAACGGAAATAAGAAGTAGTTGGTAGAATAAGGGTGGTTTTGGTGATGGATACAGATAAAATGTTTACAATTTCGTGGCGACAACAAATCAGTTGGGCGTGGCAACAACTGCACCCAACAAAGGGCCTACATCATGGTCAGCGTTTTTTTTTTTTGGGCTAACAATGCAGAGTAGTCAAAGTTAATAAAAGAAATTTAAAGAATCATCTAATATTGCGGTTGAGAGTTTTTTTCTTTAATTATATAATATTTTAAAGTATGAATATTTTTTTGTTAAGAATTGTTTTAGATTAATTTTTAAAAAAATTGTAAGAAGTTAAAATAAATTTACAATAA